GCGTGAATGCTGACTTCACGCGTGGACTTTGACGCTGTTGCTATGCTGCGACATTGCGACATTATCTTGACGCCGGCTCTACGCTGGCAGAGGAGTACCAACTGAGTGTTGTCGAGCAGGTCCTGTCTTTTGGCTGTATCCGATTCTTTCTGTAACAGGTAATTCAGAATTAATAATTATATCATTGCATATTCATCAGGTCCATCACGATTCAAACTTGTGTCTGTATTTCAACAGTTCAGGGCTGTACGAACTGGGCTAGGCCCGTTCGTTTTTTTTCTTCTTTCCCTAGGCCTTTGGATTGCACGTTATCCAAGACAAGAAAAAGAAAATACATTTCTCGGCCTCTTACCGCGTATACGTGGTCAGCACCCTTGGGTTTTTGGCCTGGGCTGGTAGCGAAAGCGGCGGGCCACATTGAGAAGGCGCAGTCTCACGTTCGCAAGTCTTGGAACTTCAAGGCAGTTCTGTCAACTTAGGCGTGTGTGAACTGGTGGTGTAACACAGTATTTCTATTTCTGCTTCGACCATTCCCTTGCTAGCTGACCAGACCTTGTCGGGTGAGAGTTCCCGCTGCCCTCCAGGGTTCTGCTGCATCTTTCCTTCCATATGGCCCTTAGTGTAAAACCTTGCGCGAGATTCAAACCAAACCTTTTCCGGTTTACCAAAACAGAGGGTAGTGCTAGTCCAAAGGAGGGGTTGGATGGGTTGTTCAGGGAGAGGAAATGAGAAAATGTTGTCCCATAGGTCTGACGACGCCCTAGCCCAACATTCTGTTGCTTCTTTATATCTGATTAGGCAGTGTATCATATCTTCTTGTTCTTCATCTCCCAACATACCACGCAGAGGTCAGAGCTGTTCCGATCTTTTTTTTTCCTTCTTTTAACATGCAGCCAATGGTTTACCAGAAGTGCAACATAGGGCTTCTGATGTTGTTAGGCCTTATTGATTTTAGCATTTTCCCTCGGGATTTCGGTGATGTGGTCTGATTCTGGACCGATTAGCCTAGTCCACGTGCGTTTAATTGCTGGCTCTGAATTTTTCGTCTTCAGCAGCATCTCATGTACCGTCTTGACAGTAGCTCAGAGACTGAAATAGGGCCTTTGATAGTTTTGCTTTTGTAGGGATGCCAAACTCCAGCTCTTGGATTGCCAGTTCCCACAATTGAAAGATCGTCTTAGCCCACAGTCCCCACACTCTTAATTCGCACAGCGGGAATACATTCAGAACTACTTCTTCTGGATCTATGTTTTCGATACAGAGGTCATCTAGTTTGGTCGCATCGATGGAGAAGGAGGTGAAAATACCGAGGAGCCCCTCTGTTGCTTGTCGACGGGACAATTGGTAAAAGGCTAAAAGCCCTTTCCGGGTTCTTTTCCTGGATCAACACCCCACACTCTCCTGGTTTCCAAGTGAAAATCTTCCCTGAGCAATTCTTTTCCAGCTCTCGGGAATGCTCCCTATTATCATCTGCAGACTTCCGCGCCTATCGTGACAGCCATCCAGTTCCTTCTTCAGCATTCCAGATGTCTCTCACTCTCCAAATCCCGTGCTTGATCGATAATAAGCATCTGCTGCCCCTACAAGTCAATGGCCATCGGTGGTTGCCTTTGTTTTCAAAAGTGGTAGACTGGCTTCTTCAAACGTCTTCACAAGAAAGAGCACAGCAGCAAGAGCAGTAGAAAGAGTGGAGAGACCACGAGCCAGGGAGAGACGGAGAGAGGGAGAGAGGGAGAGAAGGAGAGAAGGAGAGAAGCGGAGAAGGAGAGAGGGAGATACGGAGAGAGGGACAGAGGGACGGAGGGAGAGGGTGAGAGGGAGGGAGAGAGGGAGGGAGAGAGGGAGTGAGAGAGGGAGAGAAGGAGAGAGGGAGAGAGGGACAGAGGGACAGAG